TAAGATGTAAATTTTGGGGAGTGGTAGGTGGCTGTGCTTGCAGCTACATGAAAAAAAAGCCACTGCACAAAGAAGCAGAGATGAGAGATAATGAGAGTGCTGATGGCCTTAGAGTCCACTCCTTCTGAAAGCCCTCTCTTCCTCAGCTTCAAGTTTGGTCTGTCTCTTGCAACCAAAGGAGTCTCAACTACTGTAACGGGAGCTCACCACCTACAAGTAGGGAGTTGCAAGTGACAACCTAAAAATCCAGAGTTAGCGGAGTTTTAGTGCAATGGTTATTGGGAAGTTATTTCAACTGATTGTCGCTGGTATCTAAGAAAGCTGTTGTTTTGTTGGGATGGAATTTCACTCATGTTACCCAGGCTGGAGTGCAATGGTGCGGTCTCGGCTCACCGCAACCTCCACCTCCTGGGTTCAAGCGATTCTTCTGCCTCAGCCTCCTGAGTAGCTGGGATTACAGGCATGCACCACCATGCCCAGTTAAGTTTATGTTTTTTAGTAGAGACAGGGTTTCTCCACACTGGTCAGGCTGGTCTCCAACTCCCTACTTCAGATGATCCACCTGCCTCGGCCTCCCAAGGTGCTGGGATTACTTTCTGAGCCACTGCGCCCGGGCCAGAAAGCTGTTTTTCTTATAGTTTGCATACAACTAACCTACTCTGATAACTTTTGAGCTGAATCTCTTGGGGTTTCCTGGACCAACAACCAGATTATCAGAAAGCAATTATACTTTGTCTTTTTCCTTTCCCAAATACATACATACATATATATGTGTATATACGACTTCTTTTTCTTGTCTTACCTGGTTAGTTAGAACCTCCAGAACAGTATTATACAATAACAGTGATATTCAGTAAGCTCTTCCTGTTCCTGACTTTATAAGAAAGATTTGAATGTTTCATTGTGGGTATAGTTTTTCTAGTTCTTGACTGTAAATTACTCTTTATCATAGTCAGAGGATCTTTTTCTTTCTATCTAAATTTGAATTCGAATTTTTAAAAATTTGTAATGGATATCACAGTTTAAATAATATTTTTCAAGTATTTGTAAGTTCATATTACTTTTTGCCTTAATGTGTGAATGTCAATTCTATTAAAATATTCATTAAGATGGAATCGTTTTGTGTTCACTTCAGGAGTCAGACACTTCCCATGATGCTCACAGAATAGGTGTGATGCCTTTCTCTGTCTTCCCATAATGCCTTGAATGTATTATCATTAATCCGTTCATCCAATGAAAACTCATGACACTCTCTATTAAACAGAAAGAGAGTGAATCATTTTTACATTCTACAATAATCCCCCCTTGTTTTGATGCAGTATTGGTGTACTGCAGTCCTAAATTTAACTTGATAACACAGGTGTAACCAAACCCAGGTGCAGCTGCTCACCACTTGCAAAGCCAGTAACAAAAATGAGATGCAGTTAAAGGAAAGTGACTTTATTCCAGCATTAGCAGTGGGGAAACGACAGTGCCTTGAAGAAGGTTTTAAACTTTGGCTGGAGAGAGGGGCTTTAAAAGAACTCGGAATGGGAGGCAGGCAGAGTGCAGCTGGGCACAAGGTCTCTGTGTCTCGTTCCAGTGGATATCTTTTTTTTTTTTTTTTTTTTTGAGACGGAGTTTTGTTCTTGTTACCCAGGCTGGAGTGCAGTGGCACGATCTCGGCTCACTGCAACCTCCGCCTCCTGGGTCCAGGCAATTCTCCGGCCTCAGCCTCCTGAGTAGCTGGGATTACAGGCACCCGCCACCATGCCCAGCTAATTTTTTGTGTTTTTAGTAGAGACGGGGTTTCACCATGTTGACCAGGATGGTCTCGATCTCTTGACCTCGTGATCCACCCACCTCGGCCTCCCAAAGTGCTGGGATTACAGGCTTGAGCCACCGCGCCCGGCCTCCAGTGGATATCTTGAGTTGTGGTCCACCTGGAGCATGGTGGCCTCATCTCAGCAGTAGCCGGGTTGTTGATGAATGGCCTTGAGGTAATCTCTGGAATTTTTGCAACTGGGTTTCCAGGCCTGGTTTGTCTCCAGATTAGCCCTGGAACTTCTAAATAAGTACATAGATAAGTGTGCCTGGTATAAGTTGAATAAGTACACAGTTAGATAAATGTGTATGGTGTAAGGGAGTATCTGGTAGGACAGTAGCGTAACAAAGGGTCTTGAGGTACCTTTCAAGGCTACATTCTGAGGCTCAGAAGGAAAGGAAAACAAAACTTTACAATGCATTTTAGCCAGGCTCGGTGACTCATGCTTATAATCCCAGCACTTTGGGAGGCCAAGGCGGGCAGATCGCTTGAAGTCAGGAATTTGAGACCAGCCTGGCCAACATGGTGAAACCCTCTCTCTACTAAAAAATATAAAAACTAGCTGGGTATGGTGGCACATGCCTATAGTCCCAGCTACTCAGAAGGCTGAGGCAGGAGAATCACTTGAACCCAGGAAGTGAGGCTGCAGTGAACTGAGAGCGTACCACTGCACTCCAGCCTGGGCAACTGAATGAGACTCTGTCTCAAAAAAAAAAAAAAAAAAAAAATGCATTTCAAGACTGGGATACTTGGTTACACAGGCAATCTTTGTTTTGAGAGATACCATGTGAACTGGAACCTGTGCATATCAGAGCCATGCCCTTGTTTTGCGTGGTGCTGATGTACACACATTCTGTTTAACTCAATAACATGTGAAATGAAAATTGCTTGTATTTTACTTGGGGAAGTTATACTTTGGGTTTTAATGTAATATTGGTCAGATTTGAGTTAGAAGAAAATGAAGAACCTTTCTTTTTCCTATGCTCTGGAAACTGTTTAAATGAAAAAGAAAAGCTGAACTGATTCCATAAAGCCATCATTTTAGGAACAGCATACATGTTTGACAATCATTTCACACTCTTTGGGGCTATTCAGATGTTTTATCTTTTATTGAACCCAGTAATTATATTTTACTAGGCAATTGTTCAGGCTATCTTAAGTTCTCAGATTAATATGCATAAATATGTGATGTCCTTTCATATTCTTTACTCTCTTCATTTTCTGTAGGTATAGTCTTTCTTACTCCTAATATGGTTTAAGTGTAAACATTTCCTTTCCTCCTTTCTCACTCTCTTTATAAAGCCAGACCTGCTAGAAGTTTGTTGGCTTTGTAGGTCTTTTCAAAGATTACATTTTTATCTATCCCAGTGTATTTCTTTTCTAGTCCATTAATTTACTTATTTTTATTGATTTACTCTACTTTTTTTTTTTTTTTGAGATGGAATCTTGCTCTGTTGCCCAGGCTGGAGTGCAGTGGCATGATCTCGGCTCACTCCAACCTCTGCCTTGCGGGTTCAAGCAATTCTTCTGCCTCAGCCTCCCGAGTAGCTGGGACTGGACTAGAGGTGTGCACCACCATGCCTGGCTAATTTTTGTATTTTTTTTAGTAGAAATGGGGTTTCGCCATGTTGACTAGGCTGGTCTCGAACTCCTGACCTCAAGTGATGCACCCACGTTGGCCTCCCAAAGTGCTGGAATTATAGGCATGAGCCACCGTGCCCAACCCCACTCTCCAATTTTTGAGTTTAGTTTACGATTTTTAACTTTTTGAGTTGAATAATCAGTTTGCTTATTCTCAATAAAGTTTTCTAACAATGTCATTCAAGACTATGATGTATATTTATTATGTATATTTAGCAGCATCTCATACATTTTGATGTATAATGTTTTCAGTTTAGTTAATTTTTAATCTATAATTCAGCTTTTATTTCCTCCTTAATTAAGGGCTATTAGAAGAATGAATGTTACCTGTCCAGTTTCTACTCAATAAAAAAATTTTATTGGCACTTTCTAATTGTCCTAGAATATGTATTCGGCTTGAATAGACCATGAACAAGGTCTGGTTTGCCTTCGTAGTTCCATCTTGAAAATAAAGCTTTCTTAGTAGCCAAGCTTCCTTACCATCTCTAAATGAGGAGCTTGTTCTGTCAGGATAGTCATTAACTTTTTCGTATCTTTTTTTTTTTGAAATGGAGTTTTGGTCTTGTCACCCAGGCTGGAGCACAGTGGTGCAATCTCAGCTCACTGTGACCTCCGCCTCCCCAGCTTAAGCAATTCTCCTGCCTCAGCCTCCCAAGTAGCTGGGCCTACTGGCATGCACAACCATGCCCAGCTAATTCTGTATTTTTAGTAGAGACAGGGTTTCACTATGTCATCCAGGCTGGTCTTGAATGCCTGACCTCAGGTGATCCGCCCACCTTGGCTTCTCTAAGTGTTGGGATTACAGGCATGAGCCACCATGCCCAGCTTTTTCGTATCTTTTAAACAAACAACTGATATTGAAAACCTATGGCTCATTAAGTCAGATATTTCAGGACCTATTCAGATAAATTCAAGTGAAAAATCAAGGAGCATTAACTTGCCATGCAAAATGGATATATCAGACGTCTTTCCCTACAGCACTATGTCTAGTAACCAAATGGAGTCTGTGCAGGTATCAAGGAAATTAATGATGAAGTTATTCAGAGTTTAATTCAGGAATCCTTCAGAGAGTTTGGCTGAATTTTATTAAAGGAGAAGGAAGCAACTGATTTGCAAACAAAACCAAGGGCCTTCCAAGAGGAATAGTCCAAGTTACAAACAGTGAATAATAATAAGTGCATACACACACACAAACACACACACACACATGTATGTACTTGGAGACACATTGTATATATGTGTATTGGGGTGGGTGTTCATTAGCATTTACAGACCCTTTCGTGGTCCTCTGCTTTAAGCACTACAACCTTGGAGAAGGTATTGATGATGATGTTCTAGTTTGCAGATTGGAATACTGAGGTTTTAAAAGATTAGGTGGAGCCAAGTATGGAACCTACATCTTCCAGCTTGAAATTCACTGTTCTTTCCACTATGTCGTGCTAAGGGGTCACAAAACGTGTTGTCCACAACACAGCCCCTGGTGAGGATTAGAAGGAAGGAGGGGTCTGGCTGTGTGAGTGTCAAGTGTGTAACCTCCGTGTTTGTCTCATTCGAGATCCCTGCAGTGAAGTTGAACGAACTGCTCGAGAACTTTTATGTCACCGTTAAGAAGAGCGACGGCTCAGACTTCCTGGCCACCTCGCTCCATGCCATTCGCCGAGGCCTGGACCGCATCCTGAAGAACGCAGGTGTGGGCTTTTCCATCACCAGCAGCACTTTCAGCTCCTCCACCAAGAAACTCAAGGAGAAGCTGTGGGTGCTGAGTAAGGCAGGCATGTCGGGCGCCCGTTCTCGCAACATTGTCTACTTCTCACTTTCTGACGAGGAGGAGATGTGGCAGGCAGGGTGTCTGGGGGATGACAACCCCATTACTCTCCTGTCCACAGTGGTCAAGTACAACAGCCAGTACCTGAACATGCGGACGCTGCAGGAGCATGCAGATCTGATGTACGGTGACATCGAGCTGCTCAAAGACCCCCAAAACCAGCCCTACTTTGCCCGGACCGACAGCGTCAAGCGGGAGAGCCGGAGTGGCTCCACCAGAGTGTATCACGGGAAAATCTACCATGAGCATTCCCGGGGGCACAAACAGTGCCCTTACTGCCTCCTCTACAAGTACATGTACATCCACCGGCCACCCACCCAAATGGAGGCCAAGTCCCCCTTCTACCTGACTGCCAGGAAGGAGGCCACAGACATGGGCAGCGTGTGGTATGAGGAGCAAAGGATGGGGCTGCGCTCTCTTCGGGGAATTGTCCCTAACTTAGCCAAGAAGGTCAAGCTGGAAAACTGTGAGAACTTCACCTTCGTCTCATTCACTCAGGTCTCCCGGAGGCTTGGCTCCCACAGCTGCTGCCAGTGAGCCCTCCCTGGGGCCTGGCCACTACCCTGTCACCTGCTCAGTGGGCGCTCCCTCACGTGACCGGGTGTGGAGCAGCCGGAGCTCCGCAGAGGCAGAGGCTGACCCGGTGTGACTCCCGGTCCGGCGGCTCTCCCTTGGCTGTCGCCTGCTCTCCCTTTGACTTGGAGTTTGCTTTTTCAAATGAAAGTAGATGAGTCTAAATCATGCAGATGTTTTATCCAAATGTGCATCAACTTTGTTAGCTTTTAGAATCTAACACAGTGTATAATTGCTACATACAGGAGTGAGGAAATTCATTTTCTCTAGTGCCTTTCTAGCACAGGTTTTCTCAAAAAAAAAAAAGCAAAAAAAAAAAAAAAAAAAGGAAACTGTTAAGTAGTTATTTAAAAAAAAAAAAAAAAAAAAATCCCAGTAGCCCAGTAGCTTTAGATGTTAGGAAGACTGTACACTTCGTTGAATTACACTCACAATTAGGAAACAGAGAGAGGCAGACACGTTCCTAGAAGACAGATTGCGCCTGACGCTGCTTTGTTTTTGTTGGTGGATAACGTGGTTCTGGAGCGCAGGCAGCCTCCTGTCGCGGAAGATCCTCAAGCGACAGTTGATCAGCTGACAGGGACACAGGGGCCAATCCACAGCTCCCAGCGGCGGGAGGAACCCCATCTCGGCTGTCAATGGAGAGAACTTTATGATAAAAGATTCACACACCCGAGGGGTGTCTGTGAGAACAAGGCTTCTAGCGAACTAGACAGTTTGTACCGTGAGGGAATTTCTAGTAGTGAAAGAAAAGGGCTTGGAAAAGCCAATCTGTGATCAAAATGTGAAAACCTCCTGAAGCAGAAGTGCCTGTGTTTTATTTCTCTGCACCATGTGAGAGCTCTTTTGATTTGAACATTTTTTGAGGTTTGTCTGTTCTTCATGTCATCCCTTCATTCCGTCAGCATATAGCACTGGATCTATAAAACAACTAAAGGTAATTTTTAGTCTTAGCCAAGGAAATCTAACCAAGCAAGCTGCAAAAAACACAGATCCCCCAAATTTCTTAAGCTTTGGAATATTTTTGTCAGTGTATGACTTTTCAGCCACAATAGATGTCATCATTTTAGGTTGGCACCAATGCTTGGGACATGCCACCAGGTAAGCAAACCTGGCATTAATGATGTAGCTACAAAATTAGCACATCATGGTAGATAATGCAGTTTGAAACCATTTCACTTAGGCAAAATGCAACCTGACCACATTCTTTAAAAATCAGCAGAATTTTCCAATAACTACCCCTGAGTGCAACACGTGAAAAAGGAGCTCAGAGCGCTAATTAATAACAACAATAATTTCTAGGGACCCTGACTTTGTATTTGAGAAAAATCTCTTGTACCTTTATTCCATTATGCTCCTATATATGTTTTCTAATCCCAAATTAAAATTCTAATACAAATTCATTTTGTAGAAGTCTTCACATCAGTCCCCTTTCTTTTAAAAAACATTATTTTAGTATTTATTTTAATTAATTGGTTTCTTAAAAAATCATATACTAGTCATTGAAATAGGTAATACTTCCTTTACCAGAGAAGACTCAACCAATGATGCCTTAAGATTTAATGTTATTCCCTCGTTAGTCACTGTGCATCTATAAGTTTGTTTACTAGTTGACCTTTACTGAATAGAGATTGATTTTGGCATTTCTCCGTCTGTAACTAACAGGTCATATTTAATCATCAGGGTATGACTTGGTATCACATAATGTTCTGGTGTGGTTTCCTGTAGTAATCTTAGAGTTTTGATTTAAAAGAAATAAACAAAACATTAGGCACAATTTCTTTTAGTTTGCTAAACACCCAAAGGATATTTTGTTTTGTCAGTTCTGCACTTAAACTGAAATACAACCTATGTGAACTATTGGGCAAAGCCTGCAGCCTGATTAAATAAAACCTCTATTTTTATTGGATTAGATTCAAGAAGAACTTGCCATTAGGAATCACTGGGATCTTTTCAGAAGTAGCAATAACTACTCCAGAGGTTGTAATCTTTCTGTTGGTAGTGGCTTTTCATCAGCTAAATAATCATCTCTGCCTCAAATTTGTTGCCTATCACCTAGTTGATGTACCATAAAATCCCTGGGTTCTGAAGTGAATTATTATAAAAATCAGGAGGGCGGATCTTCAGTGGTATCTGATGGAATGAAAGAACTGTGTCTGAGCAGCCTAAAAGCTATTTATGACATGCCACCTTGGGGAACTAGAGTGAGGAAGAAAACACAGTCACCAAATGCTAGCATGTACCACCCATTGTACTAGGTACTTTATTATGCACTTATGTATATGTGTGTATGTCTGTGTATACACATATATACATAAGTATACACACACACATACACACACACAAAATATGTGGTTAAGCCTGGTAAGCCTGCTAAAATGGTGAAGCAGCTGGGCATGGTGGCTCATACCTGTAATCTTAGCATTTTGGGAGGCTGAGGTGGGTGGATCACTTGCAGTCCGGAGTTCAAAACCAGCCTGACCAACATGGGGAAACTCCGTCTCTACTAAAAATACAACAGGCATGGTGGCAGGCACCTGTAATCCTAGCTACTTGGAAGGCTGAGGCAGGAGAATTGCTTGAACCTGGGAGGTGGAGGTTGCAGTGAGCCAAGATCTCACCACTGTACTCCAGCCTGGGCAACAAAGCTAGACTCCGTCTCAAAAAAATAAAAATAAATAAAATGGCAAAGCCCCTGTCCATGTGTTTGGCCATAGCTGTCCTCTGAGGTCTCAAGGGGGCCAGAGCAGCAGTCCTCGTTTGTATTCTAAGGTAGTTGTTCTGGCTTCCAGTCAGCTCTCAACCTTACCTTCTGGGGACTCCATGATTTTCTGCTCTTGGCCTAATGCAATAGCAAGGAGAATTCCTTAGAGAAAGAAGTGGGGAGGTAAAGAGCATTTTCTCCACTTACCTTTGGGTTTTTTTGTGCTCCCAAGTAGAAAGAAATATGAAGAATTCACAAGTTTAAGCACAAGTTGCCCCTGGGCTCTGTGTCGAGGCAGGTGGTACTGTAGGTGTTAGGAGAGGACTCATGGAGTGTCCTTCGGGTGAGCTATTGTCCACAGCACCTTTCTGGCTATCGCTACCCCAGAATCTAAGCAGACTTCCCATTGGAAGCTTACTCTGGCACAGAAGCTAGGGTGTCACCTTAAAGGGTTTGATTCAATTGAATATAAAGGGTTTAATGCAGTACCAGGCACATCATAAGCACGCAATAAATGTTAGCTAGCTTAGTTACAACTTTTGGTAATAATTAATATTGTTTAACTAATTTGCATTATACCACTTACTTCTTTCATTATGGAGATTCTGTCTCCCTTAAACTGTTAAACTTGAAGAAGAAACCAAACCTGATGATCTGGTCAAGTTAACACATTTTCACCCATGAATTCTACCTCCAACACAACCAAGCTCTGATACCTCAGATATAAGCAAAAACAAGTGAAGAAAGAACAGAAAAGCCTTATGGGGCTTTATGAGAAGGTTTTTCCATTGTTTAAGACGTGATTGCAAAAAGGAATTTTATGGACGTACCTAACCAAAGCTGTGAAAGAAGGGTCTCCTTGGTCATGTGGCATTTTCCAGCTTTCCTTGGATTTGATGCTGCATTAGTTTGCCCTGGCTGATAAATGGTGTTTGAAAAATTGTGAAATTTGCTTACTTTGATTTTTATTTTAATTCGACCTTATTAAAAGCATCAAGCACTATATGCCACACTCAGCGTTTTCATAGACATAGTCATTAGGAGAATCTGGACAAAGTAATACTCGAGTAGAAATGGAAGTGTCTTGCTGTACTCAAAAGATGACTAGACTTGGAGCTACTCCCCCTTGGGCAAGTGCCAGTATCACTTTCCTTAGCTATAAAGTGGCATTGGTGGGATGGATTGTCTCCACGGTGAACCATGTTACACTTCCGCAATTCCTCAAGGTCATATAGTTAGGAAGTGGCAGAGCTAGGATGCAAAATTCCTAATTCCTGAAGGAATTCCTAATTCCCAAAGATAGTTAATCTCCTAATTTCGTGCTTCTCACTATATTGGGATGCCTTTTTTAGGAATAAGACTTTTCTTTAATTTTCAAATCCCACAACTTCTAAAATTATTTCAAGAAGCAGCAGAATATTGATCATTTTTCTCAGTTTAGGTTAACACAGTCCACACCATTACCACTTAAATAAACAGAATGCTTAAATATTATCCTTACCAATCATCCATCTCTTTGTTGCTTTTATGAGATGTGGATTGCTAAAAGCTTTTGAGCTAGTAACCATTTACCTTTAGGCATCAGTGAATGCAAACAGTGAAGACCTCAAAAAAGAGTTACCTCATTTTCTCTACATGATCTCCAGTGTCGTCTAAGATAAGGCCCATACATAGTTAAAAGCTGTTAACAGCTCTGAACAGAAATATGTATTAAAAGTTTCAAACTTGTATGTATTTTTGAATGCTTTTGTTTTTGGAGTGAATTTTTAATACTCTGTGTGAAAAGAGAAACATTCCATCATGTGGGCAGTGTTCGTAAGTAAAAATCTTTGTTGCATTTTCCCATATAAATGAATCACCCTTATTAAACCGTAGGAGGGAGGGATTAGTAGTGACCGACTACTGCACTCCCTTTCTAAGAGAAGAGACCATGGGGTATGGTAACTAAATGACCATCTCTGGAAATTCTTCCATCGGACATGTGTATTCTGACATCACAGGATTTCCCAAGACTTCTTGGAGGAAGGCTGCCCATCCTTTGGGCAAAGTTTACCCATTATTATTCTTATTATTTTGAATATTTCTAGTTCATTACAGTCCAAAAAATCTACAGAATTGTCCCATGTTTAGATGTTTAGTGGTTGACCAGAATCCGATTGTTGTGCTCAGTTAAAGCACTTTATTCTTTAGCTAATACAGCTCATATGGAAGTTAATTATTTCAGGAAATACATAATAAGACCCAAGAAATCACTGGATAATACATAGATATATTTTAGTTCCATTATTATTAATAGCAATTAAATAACTCTTTCTCTCCCCATTGAGATGAGAATAGGCTCCTAGATACTTGATGGTCAGTATAACCAATTTGATTAATTTGCATTTAACGCTGGTTGTTACATGTACTGATTTGTTCAAATAAGAATTTCCAGAAGGCTCAGATCTGACTAACACTGCGGTAGCGCTTTCTCGCAGCTACCATATATTCCCATGTAATTTTTACAATAGCTCTACAGGTATGTCTAATGATTTCCATTTTACTTATTGAGAATCTAGGCTCAGAGAAGTTAAACTCCCCAAAATTTCCCCGATAAGTTGGAGAAGTTAAGTTTGTAAGTTGGAGAATGCAGGTTTTCTAACTCCAAATCTAGGGCTCAGTCCATGAGACAAAACTGCCTCCTGCAGGCCATGGAAGTCCTTTAACTTTAAAAAAATTAAACACAGTTTCTGTTTGTTTGGCAAATATTTCACTTGTCAATCCGTGCTGTGTCACACCCTCTATGTACTCTCTTACTAGATGATTGGTCCACTTGGGAATTTAATTGTTTCTGGAAAGCCTGGCGGTTCCCCAGCATTTTCTGCCTACTGAGAACCTTCCATCTTTATCCAATTTATATTACCTGTCATCTACCTTAAAGGGCAGATGGTCATGTGAATTTATTCTAATAAAACCAGTTAGTTTACAAGCTGCACCTGTTTTGACATTGGACTCACTGCTTAAAAAGTAAAAGAGTTCCTAACTTGGCCGGGCACGGTGGCTCAAGCCTGTAATCCCAGCACTTTGGGAGGCTGAGGCGGGTGGATCACAAGGTCGAGAGATCAAGACCATCCTGGTCAACATGGTGAAACCCCGTCTCTACTAAAGATACAAAAAATTAGCTGGGCATGGTGGCGCGTGCCTGCAATCCCAGCTACTCGGGAGGCTGAGGCAGGAGAATTGCCTGAACCCAGGAGGCGGAGCTTGCGGTGAGCCGAGATCGCACCATTGCACTCCAGCCTGGGTAACAAGAGCAAAACTCCGTCTCAAAAAAAAAAAAAAAAAAAAAGAGTTCCTAACTTATGCCACAATTACATGCTCATGTTTTTTACTTTTGTTATTTAATTTTGGTCAGAGGATTTTTATAATCTGTAGGCTACAGTGCTGTCATAGAAAAATATACTTTTTAAATTTTTGAGATGGAGTCTCACTCTGTTGCCCAGGCTGGACTACAGTGGTTCAATGTCTGCTTACTGCAATCTCTGCCTCCTGGGTTCAAGCAATCCTCCCACCTCAGCCTCCCAAATAGCTGAGATTACAAGCATGTACCACCACATCTGGCTAATTTTTGTATGTTTAGTGGAGACGAGGTTTTGCCATGTTGGCCAGGCTGTTCTTGAACTCCTGACCTCAGTGATCCACTTGCCTCAGCCTCTCAAAGTGGAAAAAC